TTGATCCATTAGGTAAAAAGGTTATCTGGGCTTGAAGCTTTGATAATAGATCTCGTCCTAAGAGTTGAATCGGGCACTCTGGCATATATAGGAACTGATGCTTCACCACATGGCCTCCCAGAATACAAGTGCGACTCTTAAGAACCGGTCTAGCTGCACTTCTCCCAGTAGCTCCTATCACAGTTATAGTCTTTCCCGAAGGCAGAGCCACCATCTTAGTCACCACAGAATGTTCAGCACCTGTGTCGATCATGAAAGAACTTCTCTTTCCCCCTATTGCCACATCGACCATAGGCTCCGCTTGACCAAGGGGGATGGAGCCCGGTCGGTATCAATAGTCTTCCATGATGGTGTCAGCCAGACCCACAAAATCTCTATCCTCTCTTTCTCTAGGTCTCTGCGTGGGTGGATAGTATCTGTCTCCTTGAACACTTCCTCTACTATTCCCACCATTCCCTCTAAAACTTCCTCTTCCTCTATAACTACCACTATAACCTCCTCGTACCCTTCTCACTCCTTGTCTATCACCTTCATACTGCTCTGTCTGTGGACACTCACTCTTCCAATGTCCCTCCTTTCTACAATACGCACATTGATTCCTACGTAGAGGTCCCTTGCTCAGCCCATTCTCGTCTCCTCTATTTACTTCCCTTCCCTGTCTTTCTACACTTGAGATAGCTACTGCTAGCATATCTGCCTTTTTCCTCATTTTACGTTCTTGCTCGCACTTTACCTCCGTCTCCCTATTCATATATACTTTATTTGCAATCTCCATTAGCTGTATTATGGACATCCCTACAAATCCATCTAATTTTTGTAATTTCCTTTTAATATCACCTTGGGCCTGGCTGACAAATGCTGAATTAATCATCCTAGAATTCTCAGGAGCCTCTGGATTAAAGGGAGTATACAACCTATATGACTCCAATAATCTCTCATAAAAGGTACTAGGTGACTCATCAACCTTTTGCAACACCTCAGCCGTCTTTGACATATTAATTGCCTTCTTCCCTCCTGCCTTCATGCCTGCAATTATGGCTTCCCGATAAGCCCTTAGGTGGGGCATGTCAGCACCATTCACGTCCCAATTTGGATCGACATTTGGATAATGGGCTGCAGCCCACGCAACTGGATTGGCCTGATTTTGAGTACGGGCTGTTTCCTCAAGCGCTTTAATAGCCGCTTGATTAATCCAGGTCCTTTCCTCACAATTAAATAAAGTTAGTAATAATTGCTGGCAATCGGCCCAGTTGGGATTATGTGTTTGGATAATAGAAGTAACCAAATCTGTCATAACTTGAGGTTTGTCAGTATATGAAGAGTTATGAGTCTTCCAGTTGAATAAATCAGTCGTAGTAAAGGGGACATATACAAACACTGGATCTGCCCGTTGTATTTGGCCATTCTCATCCACGTGAGTTGGGCCTGGTGTAAGTCTAAGGGGCATTTGGTAATTTCGGGGTTGGATGCTTCCAGTCATCTGTCGGGTTAATATGGGACTACGATATGATGATTTCATAATGAGTTCCGGTCTAGGGGTAGTAAGGCAAGGGGAGTGAGGCGGATTAATTTTACTGGGCGGAAGTTCGGTTAACAGGATATTACGGGCAGGGCTAGGAGAAGCCTGACCAGGAACCAGAAGTGATGTCAGTTCCGGATATATGGAACTAGTGGAGGCCTGTACTGGAAGGGGGGGTTTCAGAGCTAGTGGGCTGGGCTCTGAACTAGATGCATGAGTGGGCAGGGACAATGGAAAAGGGGGAGTAGCAACACCAGTAGCACCACCTCTAACCTTAGAGGAAGTGTAAGGGGGTGGGGAGGGAAGGTCAGTTTCAGAGGGGGAATCTAGAATGGGCGGAGTTGCGGCCCTGATGGAGAGGCGAGTCCTGGCCACCATGAGGCGACATTGCTCCTCGTGGCATACCTTAACCCATTTAGGCAATTCTTCTACAATCTGTTTCCAACAATCAATATACGGAAACTGATCATAAAATTCAGGCCTACTAGATACAGCCGCATGCCCACGTTGTACCAAAATGAAATCAAGGCTACCACATGGTGGCCATGCGGTCACCAGGATAGGCCACTCTCTACTACATAAGGTAGTCAAACGTTTTGGGGACAATTTTACCCCATAATCACAGGCTTTATATCCCTTTGTAAAGTTTTTCAACATGCATGACAAGGGATCAACAATCTTTGAATCAGACGCACCCATACTGGCAATGGAACGTCTATTACAAAGATCCACAATACTTCAAACACTTCCAACAATCACACTTGTTTTCCCGGCAACAGTACCACGTGGCACGGTTGCTAAGCCAAACATACACACACACGATAACACGCAGAGAATTCTCGTTCATACAATGATATCACAGCGTCCCACTCACAAAGATCTACCAAACACTAGCTACTTACCTCTATAACTATAAATCGTCTCTACAATTATCCGTACTATAAATCAACTTTTGACTAACCAACTATATCACATTCTAGTAACCTCATCTTTACAGTCAGTGGTTATGGTACAGTTAGTAAGTGGTTATAATACAGTTTTAAAGTCACAGATCAGTTAGTAACAGTTATGGTATTATACATATAACATAAAACAGCAATTATTAGTAATTTTTACACAATGTCAGTGGTTATGGTACATGTCAGTAGTTATGGTACCGTTAGTAAGTGGTTATAATACAGTTTTAAAGTCACAGATCAGTTAGTAACAGTTATGGTATTATACATATAACATAAAACAGCAATTATTAGTAATTTTTACACAATGTCAGTGGTTATGGTACATGTCAGTAGTTATGGTACCGTGCGCTATTTTACAGTTATACACACAATTTACACTCCCACTAGACAGCAGAGCTCTAACTTTCTAGTAGGACATACAAGTTAACCAATTCACCAACTACAATATATTTAACAACATTTACAATAATCCCAACTATTCTAACTGGCCAGCACCTCGAGAGCTTTCGATCTATTTATACACCAGAGATTCGATAAGTTCTTCGCTGCCCAGACACCACGTATAGCGAACTAGAGGGCAGAATTTACACAGTACCCAGCTAGTCTATTAAACTATCAATAAGCTAGTGGCTGGATTTACAACAGAGCACACTTAGTTAAGATAGGGTGAAATCTAGCAAACTATAATATACAACAGAGTATGCTAGTCTCCCGGTCCCCCCGACCTAGCGAACAAAATTTACACCCTAGATACGCTAGTCAAGACAGGACACCGGTGTCCGACATGAGCTATTTACACCAGAACTCAGTCTGACCCAAACCACCTATATTAGACGGGCTGACTACAGAGCGTCTAATTTCCAGATAAGTGTTGCGCTTTTCACTTCTTCCTTCTATTGAAGGGGCCAATACCAATAACCGGTTCCAAATATAAAACCCCTTGTGGGTCTACCGCTCTAACGGTATCAATCTTACCTGTTAGTCCTGGACCTGGGTTCACTCATAGACGGAACAATCTGGGACTCACTGCGCAGAAGCCGATGATCTCCTGGACAAAAGGCCAGTGGCGCCGAGACGAAAGGAGGTCCACGCAGTAGAAGTCCAGGATTGCAGCGTAGAAGGTTTGGTAAAAGTTTACCGTCTCAAATCTCTGCGCCAGCTTCCATGCAATGAGGTTCCCGGCCACAATGCACCAGAGATGTTGCAGTGTAAGCATGCAGAAGCCAAACACAGAGATTTGGACACAGATCTTCAGGAAGTAACAGGCCTTTATTCACATTACCGATCGGGTCTCAGATGAACTCCTGTTCCAAATGATCTGAGAGACCAACACATAGTGTACATTCCTTATATAGCACTATAACTCCTCCCATTAATAGCTACACCCACATATACCTTTAACCAATCAATGAGCAGAATATAGACTTGTACATCTAGTCAAACCACATGGCCCATCCAAGACAAAGGAAATAAGTGCAATTTCAGTTCCTGCATTCCTGCACATGCTCAGTACACTGATGACAGTATCCTAGCTACATGTAGCTAACCAACTGACACAACATACACATATGCCACATGGAAATCTTGGCCTACTAAATTTTAACCATGCTGGAATCCCATCACAGTAACAGGTCAGTGGTAAAATGTGTGTGGTGAATGCCAGTGGTGGAGACTAGCTGCCCACCATCTTAAAATTGTATCAGTCACCACTGGTATGTAAATTTCACAGCATTTAGAAAAAAAAAACAAAGCTTGATGCACACATCTAGACTTAACCTAGTGTTATCATCAGTGGACCAAAAGTGTGTGAATGTGCCAAATTGAAAGGCTTGGAGGGACATTCATTAACTGATGGTATATGCTGTCTATGGAATACATTTTTTATTTTATATTTTTGATTTTCCAAGCTATGCTTTATTCCTCAACTCCTAACTCATAAGAACCATAAAACTAACGTGTGACTTTGTCATGGTGCCTGCCAGCCACATTCCTATTTCAGGAGGTCCGGTAACAGGTTTTACAGTTTTTTTTAAATTATTTCCATTTGTTAACTTAAGTTCTGCGTGTTGGGTCTTAGACTATCTTGACAGACTCTAAACCTAAACTTAACCCCTATCCATCCATAAACCTAGACCTAAGTGCGAACTCAAAATCCAGCTATGACTCCTTTACCTAACATTAACTCTGTGCCTAATCACAATGCTACCCTGAATTCCTCACCCTAGCCTTGTCCTGACTCCAACCCCTTTCTCCTAATTCCTTCCTAGCCCTGAGTTTTCATCCTGATACTTTTCCCAACCCCTAATTCTAATGATCCCAATAGAATTTTCTCCAAAATGTACAATGTTGAAAACACAAACTGCTGAAGTGATTTGGTTTTATGATGAATTAAGAAATGACAGCATTACTAGAATACAAAGCATTGAAAATAATAAATATTTTAGGTAGGAGAGTATTGGGAAAGATGGTGTTGTATCAGAATATGTAATGACTAACTTATTTTGTTTTTGTTTTCATGTTTAGATATGCTGCGCTTCACCTTAACAATTTCAAGCCTGTTGGTTATATCACAGGTGAGTAAAAGCACAAAATGGCGCATCTTGCGAACCTATTTCCTCTTTACTTTTTTGTCTATCCATAACATTATTAAAGTGATACGCTTAGCACCAAAACAACTTTAGCTTTATGAGGCAGTTTTTGTGTATAGATCATGTGCCTGCAGTCAGATTACTTTTGTTTCTGTTTATGCAGCCCTAGCAACATCTTCCCTGGTTGTGACTGACACAGGAATCACACACAGGAGGCTCCTGCAGGCTCTAATAGGCTATAAACAGAACACACACATTCTAGATTAAACAGACTTTCTAGCCAGCACAAGCAGCCTGTTATACATACACTGTGGTAACCATGCATAAAGAGCAGAAGGACCGCCTGTGGGTGGTCTCTTTTGCTCTCCTTTGTCAATCAATTGTTCGGCATAGAATCTGTGGCAAAAAATTGATTGACAAGTAGAAGAAATACTTATTTTTAAATAGGCATTTCTCCCAATCTATACATTACCTAATAAAACTGCTCCCTGTTATGTGAACAAGCTGCCTAGTTGTTATTCCTATTTCCTATCTGGTATTTAACCTGTGCTTTGACCTCTTCGCCTAAGAACCTTTGCTGTCCGAACTGATAATCTGCTATGTATTTGACAACATGCCTGTCTTGTCCTTGCTGGCACCTTACTTTGGCTTCATTTTCTTATAATCCATTTTTGCATTCTGGATTCCAAACATTACAAGACTGGCAGTTAGTCACCATACTACAGCTACTATCAGTTTCCACACAGTCCAGGTTTACAGTTTTGTTAACTAGGCTGTGTGCAGCTTTTGGCATATCCACTTTAACACAATAACTCTCACTCTCAGAACCTTTTTAGAGCCACAGCGCAATGTACAGAGCAACAGTTAGGTGTGTTGCTCAATCTTAAACTACACACCAATACCTAAATATACATACACAGTGTAATACAAAGATAGGACTGTCACATTAGGAACAAGTACAACTTTTACAAAACAGGATATTAAAGAGTTGAAACAAATATGTCTGTCTCAGAAAAATGTCTTTGGTCCCACTTGCAACACCCACGGTAACATCAAAACAATCTATTATATAACACAAAATCATCTTACATATGTGGGTGACAACCACCAGGGTTTGGTTGTTGATAAGGAACTCAGTTACATGGGAACAGCACTCTGAGTTGTTAAACTGAATGAAAATTGTTTAACACCTCAAGGTGAGATTGCATCTAGACACTAATTCTAATTTTTACTTTTTCCTCTTCATAACCTATACATAGTCAAATTTGTATCTTCTTACTCACTTGGTAAAGCAATAGATATGGAGCAAGGAATCAGACTATGATTTTAGAAAGGCACGCCATGCAAAGGCAGCCCTTTCAATAGATAAACTTTTAGTTTTAACATCTATTTTTAGTATTTTGTGTGTTAGATATAAAAGGGCCGGTGCAATGATTATTGGCTGCACAGGCAAAAACAGATTTTGACGCCCGCCCCAACTGCCTTCCCCACACACTCTGGTTCCCTGGGTACTGATAGGCATGCAATACCACCTCCCCTGCTGCTGGAAACTCCTACAAGAAACATAGAAACATAGAATGTGATGGCATAAGAACCATTCGGCCCATCTAGTCTGCCCAATTTTCTAAATACTTTCATTAGTCCCTGGTCTTATCTTATAGTTAGAATAGCCTTATGCTTATCCCATGCATGCTTAAATTCCTTTACTGTGTTAACCTCTACCACTTCAGCTGGAAGGCTATTCCATGCATCCACTACCCTCTTAGTAAAGTAATACTTCCTGATATTATTTTTAAACCTTTGTCCCTCTAATTTAAGACTGTCCTCTTGTTGTGGTAGTTTTTCTTCTTTTAAATATAGTCTCCTCATTTACTGTGTTGATTCCCTTTATGTATTTATATGTTTCTATCATATCCCCCCTGTCTCATTTTTCCTCCAAGCTATACATGTTAAGATCCTTTAACCTTTCCTGGTAAGTTTTATCCCGCAATCCATGAACCAGTTTAGTAGCCCTTCTCTGAACTCTCTCTAAGGTATCAATATCCTTCTGAAGATACGGTCTCCAGTACTGAGAACAATACTCCAAGTGAGGTCTCACCAGTATTCTGTAAAATGGCATGAGCACTTCCCTCTTTCTACTGCTAATACCTCTCGCTATACAAAAAAAAAAAGTGCGTGTACAGTGATCAGACTTAAAAATAGGATCATCAATTGATCTATCCAAACAACAGCACTCACAGTATGAATGTCTCTTGGCTACTATTAGAGATAAAATATTAGCGTGAGCTTGTTGTAGGTAGCTTCTAAATGACAAGTAGTCCGTAATCAACTAGACGTACTGAGGAGTGTGGGCTGAGCTCTTGACAAAGGCGCATGCTGGCGCCGAAACGCGCGTTGAGCATAACGGATACCAATATGTATTTTATTTAGGATCACTATCTACTTTATTAAGAAATTTGGTTTTGGGATTTAATTTATCTTTGAGCTACTAGGGCTTGTCATTCTTACTTTTATTTAACCGTCTAGCCGCTCGTTTGGAAACCTGAGGCACCTTACTCATAGGGAGATTTTTGTTGCCACCAGTCAGCTATGGGTAATAACACTCCCCTGCATTATTAGACCTACTCATTATGCAGTTTTAAGCTGTCATAGCCGTACGCTTGGGAATCTGAGATATTTTCATCCTAGGGTGCTGCGGGAGATTTTCACTGCCACCGGTCGACCATTTATACCTTACAGTTGTTGACCTAGCATAATATTCCCCTGCACTTTTAGACCTACTCAGTATTCTGTGCTAAGACGTCGCTTGCTGTCAACAAGCCTTTAGTTACTTTTGGATCTCTTTATACGGATGTACTATGGGGACTCAGTAAGAGCTCTCTAGATGCTTGGCTTTTGTGGCTTCTGTATGAGCACTTGAGATTCTTGAATTCTGTCCGGCCGGACCAATAAATTACCCCGACGTTCCCTCCGTATACTGTTCAATCAACCGTGGCATTGAGGATTAGATGGTGTGAACTGGGGTGATAGGTGGTTTATCGGCTAACATTCCGACTATATCATTAATTCGGCTTACACTGCCGTTTACCTTCTACCTTCCCCCTAGTATTCCTATACTCTCATTGCATTGGGGATTAGTTGAAGTATTTTAATTGGGGGGACAGTATTATTCGCCGACTAGTATTGAGATTATATCACTAGTTCGGCTTATACTGCTCCCCATATACTCCTATAAACCTTCTGCAATACCCCCACCACCCCTGGTATTAAATTAATTTGACTGTACCCATTACGGACAACTTAAATTAGTAGCAATATATGTGCAATTGTAAGCACATCACTCAATCAAGGTTCACGCTAATAGTCTCTATTCCAGTGGATACATTCTTATTCTTTTCAGCCCACACTCTGTATAGTTGGCTAAGGATACTTTGTCCATTTATAAACTGTTTGTAACAGCTCCCTGTAGTTATTCCAACACTAGCTATGAGGTATGCATATTGTGTGAGCTCAGCCTACACTCCTCAGTATGTCTAGCTGATTACGGACTACTTGTCATTTAGAAGCTACCTACTAGTTCACGCTAATATTTTATCTCTAGTAATAGCCAAGAGACATTCATACTGTGTGAGTGCTGTTGTTTGGATAGATCAATTGATGATCCTATTTTTAAAGGGACACTATAGTCACCTGAACAACTTTAGCTTAATGAAGCAGTTTTGGTATATAGAACATGCCCCTGCAGCCTCACTGCTCAATCCTCTGCCATTTAGGAGTTTAATCCCTTTATTTATGAACCCTAGTCACACCTCCCTGCATGTGACTTGCACAGCCTTCCATAAACACTTCCTGTAAAGAGAGCCCTATTTAGGCTTTCTTTATTGCAAGTTCTGTTTAATTAAGATTTTCTTATCCCCTGCTCTAGCAAGAGCCTCCTGTATGTGATTAAAGATCAATTTAGAGATTGAGATACAATTATTTAAGGTAAATTACATCTGTTTGACAGTGAAACCAGTTTTTTTTTTTTCATGCAGGCTCTGTCAATCATAGCCAGGGGAGGTGTGGCTAGGACTGCATAAACAGAAACAAAATGATTTAACTCCTAAATGACAGTGAATTGAGCAGTGAAATTGCAGGGAGATGATCTATACACTAAAACTGCTTTATTTAGCTAAAGTAATTTAGGGGACTATAGTGTTCCTTTAAAGTCTGGTCACTGTACACAAACTTTTTTCACTCCATTTATTTTAGTTCAATTTCCCTCAAGAGGGATTAATAAAGATTTATATGTACTGTAGTTAGTTCTTTTCATGCTCCAATACTGGCAGCTTTTTGCAATACATCGGTGGAGCAGTTTTATTTAGGGTATAGAGTCGGATTTTGGGTGCACTGCTTTAGTTAACCCATCTCAGTCTCTTCTTTTGCTATTGTTATTTTGGCTCATGCCCTGATACCCTTCAACCAATAACAACTCCAGTGGATTGACCAATTTGGTCTTTTCACTGTTGTACTATTTGTTTCCCACTCCCTCGAGGTCTGATCACACGTGCTGCAGTATCACTATGTAATGGGAGGGCTTGCAGCCTCCAGGCTTCGATGGTGTGCCGTACCAATTCTGCTGTTCAAAACACTGGGAGTGTGAGTTATGAGGGGCAGCTGCCGTGGACTTACGGTAGCTGCTAATTGTATCCTTCATCAAAGGACTCTAATAACGGTGTACTGCCAAAAATATTTAAGAAATCCAGGTCTCTGGCCACGTGCTAGAAATTTTGTTTTTTGCGGCACCTTGCTGTGGCACCCTAAGGTGGCCGCCTGTGCCGCCTTATGGATGCACCGGCCCTGGATATAAATTGCCGAGCACTTATTTAAATAGCATAAACCAGTGTTAAACTATGAATACACCACAACATATATACAATATACTCATAAGTTATTTCATAAAGACATGAAAAAGAAACTTATAAAACTTATACAAATCAACACATCCCCCCAGCTTCCTCTCATAATATAAGAGGTATAAACATTCCCATTAGAGGATTGAAAAACAAAACAGAAAAACTGAAAATGTATGCAATATATCATCAAGCACAGCCCATAGTTGGTGTTTAAAGCATAGATTTTAAAAAAACCTCAACAACTAACTACCAATTGACAAAGTCTGTCTCTTCGAATAAAAATCATCTAAATTCCACAGCCTTTATACATTTAGAATGCAGTTTATTATATGTTTTTTTTTTTTTAAATAAATAGTTGTATTTTATTACCTTCTCGTTCCTGAGTCTGGTACAATTTTTAGCTTCTATACATTCCATTGGATTCTTCTGTAGTAGATTGTTAGAATGTTACCCTAATACACACATTCTGTTTGTACTCAGAGCCTCGTTAAAACGGCTCTCTTTCATTTAAGTGGGCTATACCATATTTTATTCTAGCTTGATGTTTAAATCTGCTTCATTCGAAGTATAACATTGGTTTGTGCACGTTAAATGACCTCTTCACATTGATCGGACGTTTTCACTTTATTATTGTTAGTGTGATATCAAAGAGGAAGCTCAAACTGTCAAACCCTCAAACAGTCTTCTTATCGTATAAACTAGCATAATTAATATGTAATACGTGCATAACAGCACATCACTTTCTGGGTTACTCACTAACGTGAAAATGTATAGTGAATTTTAACACAATTTCAAATCAAAAAAGCTGAACTAAAAAAAAAAATGTCGGGGGCGGAGCCAAGCCACTGACCTGAGCGGACGCATTAGCACTGTCCTCTGGACCAAAACCGCTAAAAAAGGGGATAAAAAACACTTTTCAAGCCTCCTACCCGAATCCCCACAGACCCCGACAACTATGGGCAGGAAAACAAAGAAACTGAGATCCGACAGACCCAAACCGGGTATGAATATCGGCGATCTCCTCCGCCAAGCACATGGTGCGTGTGGGCTCAAGATGGCCGTGGTCCTGGATGATTTTTCAGAAAACTCGGAAGAACTGTCGCTGTATGAAGAAGAAGATGGCCACATGTTGGCACTACAACACTCACCTAAGCAGAGTCGGCTCTATAATTAGGCGATTTAGGCGGCCGCCTAAGGCCTCGCACAGTCAGGGGCCTCGCGGCCGCCTAAATCGCCTGAGGGCAGACTGACATGTCGGGTTCTCGGTCTCTGACCGAGGACCCGACACAGGAGGGGGCACGGCGGCTTGCCCTTTGTGCCGCTGGGTGCCAGGCCCCTCCTGTCAGTCCGCCCGGGGAGAGAGCCGGCCTCAGTCTGCAGCTCCGCCGGGTGTGAGCTGCAGACTGATGTCTCGCAATCTCCAGCCAATCAGAGCGTTGCCGCGGGTTACCACGGCAACGCTCTGAATGGAGATCGTGAGACATTCCCCATGTGGTCTGCAGCTCTGCATCCGGCGGAGCTGCAGACCGGAAAGCCCACTGGACCACCAGGGACAGAATAACCCCACTGGACCACCAGGGAAAAAGGTAAATTTTGACCCCACCTCACCCTGCACCCCACCTGTCACCCCCCTCACCCTGTCACCCCCTCTCACCCTGCACCCCACCTGTCACCCATCCTCACCCAGCCACCTCACACTGTCAACACCCTGTCACCCCCCCTCACCCTGTTACCCCCCTCACCCTGCCACCTCACCCTGCACCCCACCTGTTACCCCCCTCACCCTGCCACCTCACTCTGCACCCCACCCTGTACCCCACCTCACCCTGTCACCCCCTACCTTGCACCCCACCTGTCACCCCTCACTCTCACACCTCACACTGTCACCCCATGTCAACACCCTGTCACCCCTCACCCTGCCACCTTACCCTTGCACCCCACATGCACCTCCTCCCTGCTCACCCCCTCACCTTCACCCCCTGTCACTCACCCTGCACACTCTATCTGTCACCCCATACACACCCTGTCACTCCTCACTGACCCCACCTCACACTGTCACACCCTGTCAACACCCTGTCACCCTCACCCTGCCACCTCACATTGTCACCCCTGTCAACACCCTGTCACCCTCACCTGTCACCCCACCTCAAGCCACCTCACACTGTCACCCTGTCACTACCCTGCCCCCTCACCCCTGTCACCCCACCACACTGTCACCTCACACTGTTACCCCTGTCAACACCCCTGTCACCCCTCACCCTGGTTTTGTCACCCTCTCACCCTGCCACCTCACACTGTCACCCCACCTGTCACCCCTGTCAACACCCTCTGTCACCCCACCCTGTCACCCCTCACCCCTGCCACTTCACACTGTCAACACCCTGTCACCCCCCCTCACCCTGCCACTTCACACTGTCACCCCATCTGTCACCCCCCTCAACCTGCCACCCCATCTGTCACCATCATCTCACCCTGCCACCCCACCTGTCACTCCCCTGTCTTATACACACACAAGTCAACTGCTGTTTTTTTCCAATAATGGTGTTAGTGGGGGCCTCATGTATGAGTTTCGCCTAAGGCCTCGCCAAGTCTAGAGCCACCACTGCACCTAAGCCCAAGACAGTGACTTCTAAACCAGTGACAGCTGAAATGATACAGGACATGCTAAGTGCCCTCCAGAGAACCTTGCAGGCAGATGTAGCCCAGCTGCACACCGACATCACAGGCCTGGTGAGCCGCATTGACACAGTAGAAATGGCCTTGGTGCAGCACACCCAAACCATAGCTCAACTACAGTGGGACATCGAGGCACTCACTAAAAAGCAAGCTGCCTCTGACATGCACTTCGCCCAGCTAGAAGACACACGACATCGCATCAACCTGAAAATCCGGGGGATACCGGAGGAGGTACCCGCGGCAGAGCTCCCACATCTACTTCGGAGACTACTGGCAGACTTACTAGAGCCCAAGACCTCCAGGGCTATACACAAGGAGAGCGCCTTCCGGGTACCGAAACCGAGAGGAGCGCCCAACACGGCATCTCGTGACCTAATTGTGAGGTTTTGCAGCGGAGCTGACAAAGCACTAGTCCAGGCGGCCCTGAAGGGGACTACCACCCTTAATTTTGAGAACATGGCTCTATCCTTTTTTGCTGACCTATCAGGTGAAACACTGCACTGGCGCAAGACGATGAAACCCCTCATGGCCGTGCTGCGCACCCATGGCGTGGAATACCGCTGGAGATCCCCACGCGCACTTCAAGTAAGGCCAGGAAAAGAGACATATAGAGCCACAGACATCTCGGAAGCCCCCACGCTCCTTGTAAAACTTTGGCTACCAGGGGACACCCTCCACCGACCTGGCGACCAACCGACGACATCGGCGACACACCAATGGGACATAGCAAAGATCAAGCCATTCACCCCGATGGGAGCCAAACCGATAGCAGCTGCCAACAGCGGACAGTAAAAGATCGGCACCTCTAGCCCTAAAAATCTGGGACTTACCCAATCAGTGCCTCACAACTGATTGGACTCAGACTTGCTCTAGTAGCATCAGTGCCAAAAAGTAAATCTCGATGGATAAAATATGCGTGCTGTTGTGGAACATTACACATGCTTGTTATTTTCTTGCACAGGAAAAATAAAGAACTAAAAAAAAAAAAATGTCTAAGTTAATTATTCTTTCAATTTAGCTATAAATTTAGTAAATAACTTTTTTTCTTCTTCTGTAATTTGAATCAAAAACTGGAAAATGTGTTTAATATAGAATTTGCCTTATTTTAGAAGACTTAGGGACAACATTACCTGATGCGCTTATAGGCATTAACTCTATATTTTCTCGAGTCAAACGCATTTCTCTTTGTCTCCTCTATATTAACACATACAAATATGAAGCTATATTTAAAGTATACAGGTGTTAACAACTGTATTTTTATTGATGCCAACTTTTGTTGGTTCCATATCTGCATTTATTATTGATGTTTGATTTGGAAAGTATACCTCCTTAATTACTTGTGGTAACAACCACACCCAATAAATATCTCACCGTATTTTTTACCCGCATTTGTTTTTCACTGTAAATCTCACCCCAGTTTCCTTTCCCTATCTTTTCTCTTTCACCTTTTGTGTAATCTAGCGTGTTCTGAAATAAAACATTAAGAGCTTCCTTATGAGAAAGACCCCCTCCCTCCGAAGCATTTTTTTGTGGTTTACGGTTTTAACTTACTTTAAACTATGGTCCTGGAGAGACTACGCCTAGTTGTTAAAATACCAGAACAATGCATACATGATTAACGTTCTCAAGATAATTTTTTTTTTTTTTATCAGTAATCTGAAAAGTTTGTAGCAAATTATGGATTCAATCCAATATTGTTCGTTAAGCTTTATAAATTATTTAATATTTTTGGATAACTTTTTTAAACTATTATTTTAAAATATATTAATATATAAAAATATATATATATATCATATATTAAAAAATATATATCCTAAATAAAAATAAGAAAACATTTTAATGTTTTTCATAATGTTAAATAATTTTAAAGGTTTATCCAAAATATTATTAAATCATTTTAAAAAGCGTATTAGACAATACTAAATCCCAGCCTATGTATGTTTCTAAAACAAAATACACATTTTTAAATAAAAATAGTGTTTTTTCATTCCCTTTATAGTATATTAAGTAGAATATTGCTGTCTAACAGTATTTAACTAAGCATACTCACGTGCATTGATCACTAGCATATAGGCCATTGCTTTTATTTCATATTAAGTGATAAGATATTAATAAATATTAAGATATTAAAGGAGTACTATAGGGTCAGGAATACAAATGTGTTTTCCTGACCCTAGAGTGTTAAAAACACTATATAGGTGGCCAGCTCCCTTTGCCCCCTTAAAGAGGATGAAAACTTACCCTTATTACTGGCCCTGCCCCCGATTTGCCTCCTTAACTGATATCATCAGAATTGCATTAGGAAAACATGAGATTGTCAATTCTGATTATCCCAGCCAAGGAGATGGGGTGAGGGTGGGCAGAGCCAAACACAGTGATGACCAAGCAGCATCTCCTATTAGAGTTGCATTTAATCAATGCATCTTCATATGAAAAATTCAGCATACTAGAGGTGTCAATAGGCAGCAATGTAAAAAAGCCTACAGACTATATTCACCAGAACAACTACATTAAGTTGTAGTTGTTTTTGTGACTATAGTGTCCCTTTAAAGGTACACTATAGTCACCCAGACCGCTTCAGCTCATTGAAGTGGACTGGGTGCATAGTCCCAGGTCCCTTAACCCTGCAAAGGTAATTATTGCAGTTTTTAATGAACTGCAATACTTACTTTTGAGGGTTTACTCCACCTCTAGTGGCTGTCTACCAGACAGCCACTAGAGGGACTTCAGAGTCATTAGGCGAGGGACATCGGCGCTGGAATGAGGTAACAGAAGGTAATTTTAACTCCTTCTGCATCACTGTGGGGGTGGTTGAGGGAGGGGGTGGACCCACCAGTAATGTCATGTGTACTTTAAAACTGTGTATAGTGAGTTTAGTATATTTTACTTTGGTTTTACTGGAGATGTGACTAAGACAGAGGTTACACACTTCTAGTTATACCAAATCATACCAGCAATGGGTGCTTCTATGGACTCAAAGTGGTCAGCTGACACTCCTAGGCAATCACAGAACTCCAGACAATATTATGATGGTTTAGGCACTCTAGGTAAATCCAAAGTGAGCAGGTTTATTGGAGCAGATGAAAAGCAACGTTTAAGCCCACAATAGGGCCTTTGTCAAGCTGTGGGACGAAACTCTGCTTTCATCTGCTCCAATAAACCTACTCACTTTGGATTTATCTTGAGTGCCTGGGCCATCATTTATTTTCTGCAAATTATATTGTGAGGATTGGCCAACTCTGGGCCGGTTACAACCTGAGATCCAGGCGAATGCGGGATCCTTTATGGTAATTATATCCCGAGAATATTATGACTTTAACAAAATGAAGCACTTGCAGTATCTACAGTGTCAGGAAAATGCCAATAGATATAGGATTTAGGATTCTCGGGCTTTGTACTCACCATACTGTAAACATCAACTGCCATCAATGTGAGTTTAGCAGAAAATGATGTTAGTTGAACTCCACCGCATCTCAGCTGATCTGATCCCTAGAGGCCTAAGGGAGTTAGGATTAAGATTACAGAGAGGTGGTTTAGCCTTCAGACTGCTGTGTATTGCAAATATTATCATGCCCAGCCGTGATGAATCTTAGCAACACAGTAACACCAGCTCTCAAAATGTAGCATTTGAGAAATATATATATATATATCAAAAATGATGGCTGCACTCCTGGCTTCGTTTAAAATCCAAATAGTTTATTGGGTATACATTAAAATCGAGATCAACGTTTCAACCCCACTCTGGGCTTTCCTTAGGATCAGAAAATACATACATGTGTAATGTAACACATGTATGTATTTTCTGATCCTGAGGAAAGCCCAGAGTGGGGATGAAACGTTGATCTAGATTTTAATGTATACCCAATAAACTATTTGGATTTTAAACGAAGCCCAAGTAGTGCAGCCATCATTTTGGATATTCTATGTGAAATTAGCCTGCTGACTTCTGCACCCGGCATTATCTAAGAAAGCGTGAGTGCAAGGAAACTTCTGTCATATATATATATATATATATATAAATTATCTGATCATTGGCCTAGTGTGTCTACAGTAAAGAAGACTAAGTTCATACTTAGCTGATAAGTTAATTGTCTCCAGGGTACTTTCAGACAATGCATTGCTGCACCTGTCTGAGGTTATGAGTAGCTTCGAATCTGCGGTTTCCTCTCCTTTCACTGCAGGTGACTACGGATGTGGTTAAGGGTGGAAGTCATAATATGCTGCTTTTAATATAGTGCACATGCTACACTCTGAATGAAGATGATTTTGATCTCCAGTTGCAGAAATAAAAGATCCAAGAGTACATCAATTCACTTTAATTAACATGATGGCCTTTATATGTGTCAAAGCTTCTATTACACAATGCTGTACACACGGCAGAGAACGGAACTGTGCAACCAGCCGAGGCATCCGATGACACACATATGGAATTTTTATATATTTTTTTATAAATAATTTCTATTTAAGTCCCTCAAGTTCAGCTGTTTACTTATCTGTACTGAGTGAATATACGCTCAATCAGCTATTGTAGGATGATGCATTATTTCTCTGTTTGTTCAGAGAGTTATAGAACATGGAAAACTGAAACGTTCAGTTTTCTCAGCCCCCATCATGGAATGTTCTGCTTACTCCCATTTAACCATCCTGCTGGCCAAATCACAACGGTACCTACTGATAGACTGCTCTTCAGAGTGCAATCAGCGTATACCCACTCCCACAAGCATTATTCAGTGTTTTGGTGTTGGAGAATACTCTGATATGGCATCATTGCTCATGTACATGCATATGCACAGAGCCAGATTAAGGTTGCCCATTGCCTTAGTCAGGTTGCCAAACAAGAGTCCTCACCTAGACCCTGGGTCTGTTTCTGTGAGTGCTGTGTGTCTGTTTGTGTGAGAGTGTGTGTAGAGACTGAGTGTTGTCTGTGTGGAGGAGGCTAAACATGTCTGTGTGTCTAGCATTATGTACCTGTGTATGTGCCTGACAGTGTGTGTCCATTTCTGACTGAGTGTGTCTGTTTGTGTTTTTTCTTTGTTGTGTTTATTGTCATGCTTTGTTCCAAGTGTGGGAGGTGACTGTGTATAATGATTGCTACTTTCAGGGATTTGACTGTGGCATGGCAGAGGTGAGGGGTAGGTGAGTGTGATGAGGTGTGGGGTAGGTGAGTGGGAAAAGGTAGGTGAGTGTGACACTCTATAGGCATTTAAATCTTTCAAGATGAACAGTTATGAGTTGGGGCTTCTTTAATAGCTAAAAATATAATTTAACCCATATCGTGCAGTAATTTAAATCTGGCTTATGTTTGCAAAATATATTCTAAAATAATTTTTTTTTAAATAGATTATTAAAATGTTTTTTTATATTTCTTTTTTTCTCTTTTTTAGCAGTGTGTGGGGGAGTACACAACCCCGGCAGATGATGAGGCCGACAATTTTACCATTGATTACTACGGGTTTGAAGAACAGTGTAAAAAAAAGGAAGTTCGTGAATTCCGCTCCATATTTCTTCCTGTCATGTTCGTTATGATCTTCTTGGTGGGACTTGCAGGGAATGGACTGGTGATGCTCAGATACTTCTACTTTAAACGACTCAAGACTGGAACAGACTATTACATGATGAACCTTGCTATAGCAGACATGCTATTCCTCCTAACACTGCCTTTCTGGGCTTTCAGCGTAGCCTCAGATTGGGCATTCGGAAACAAGATGTGCAAAATCATCTACTGTCTGTACAAAATGAGCTTCTTTAGTGGCATGTTCCTGTTGATGTGTGTGAGCTTTGAAAGATACTTTGCCATTGTTCATTCACCCTCTGCTCATCGTCACAGAACCAAGACCGTGTTGATAAGTAAGCTATCTTGCGTTGGCATTTGGGTAGTAGCCTTTATCCTTTCCATTCCTGAGTTGATCTACAGTGGAATAAAAGCGAGAAATAATTTAACAAAGTGTGTAATATTATCCGAAGAAATCAATAGCCTTACTATACAGTTGAAAATAGCTCAGATGTTCTTTGGCTTTATTTTGCCTCTGTTTATCATGTCCTTTTGCTACTCTATGATAATCAATAGGCTGCTCCAGGCTCGTAACTTTGAGAAATACAAAGCCATCAAAGTCATCATTGCCATCGTCATTGTTTTTGTAGTCTTTCAGCTACCTTATAATAGCGTAATAGTTATAAAAACCATAAGCAACACCACCGACTGCAAATTAAGCAAGCAGCTGGATATTGCCGATGACGTTACATACACCTTGGCCTGCTTCCGCTGCTGTCTGAACCCTTTTCTCTATGTTATTATTGGAATCAAGTTCAGGAATGACCTTTGCAAACTCTTCAAGGACATTGGTTGCATGAGCCAAGAGAAGCTCAGTGAATGGTCAACAGCAGTAAAACCAAGCAAGAGAACTTCCTTTGCACTGGAAACAACTGAGACATCGACTACATATTCTCCATGAAAACAAAACTCAGCAATATCAACATATTCCTTATTCCTCACTGCTTTTGTGATATGAATAATGCTGACAGAGAAAAATCTAGGCAAAAATAAACAATGGATTTTATCAAAGCTCTTTTGCTTTTTGGAACGTTTAAATAAAATGGAGAGAATGATTACATGTCATACATTTCAGGTTTCAACTTTTAAACCATGCATATTGAAGGAAACATGTTTTGAGAAGTCAAGAAACCCTATGGTATTGTCATCATTAGTATTATATGATCGCCAACGCACCTAAGCGTCACGATTCAAAACAGAAAGCCTGGACTGTATCTAATGGACGAAATGCAAATTACTTTTACGTTTTCATTGTGTTCGAGAAGCTCTTAAAACCTTTAAACTCTGATTGAGTTGTGTCCGGGTCAAGTGAGAATCCTGCTTATCCACCAGAGCATGAACCCAGATGTTGTGGGGAATGAAAGATTTACGATTTTCAACTAAGAGTGTAATCTAGTTACATGTTTTGAAATATGAACCATGCAAGGGAAATGTACAGATTTCAAAGTGGTTTGCAATTCCCCTTTGTAAAGAAACACACTTATGCATGACCTGTGTTACTCAGGCAGTGCTCCAGATTATTTAAGAGTTACTAGCTAACAAAAAAAATATGGCTATGGGATAAGGTTCTATAAAGTAAAAAATGTTTTAAAAAAGCCCAACTGTGTTATGTTTTTATCAAGGTTCAACATTATTTCCACTTGCCACCAGAGTAGGGTTACCCTTTAGGCAAACATAGATGGCCATCTAGGGGTTAGACAGGTGCCATATAACCACAAATTTGTTTGTCCCCATTAACCATCCCTATGTGAAGAGTTTAAGAGAGGGATGCAAACTAATGACCTGCTTGGGCCCTGTGGGATCTTAACCCTTGTCTGCTCACGATTAGCCATTGACAAGTGAAAGATTTGCCATAGTGAGTATGAATTCATCCATGATGAGTGTGGCATAGATTCTACAGGCGTGCAGTGGTGATAAACCTTTAAAGCCTGCCTAGTATTGTAGGACATGATATTTTAGTTTTGACTTCCAAATATGCCGTGCCAATGTTGCCAACGCACATTTCCAAACAGCTTGCTTTTGGAATACAGTATGTGCTATCTCTGTGTCATTATCCAATTATGTTCACGAAGTTTTATGTTCTATAACTCACCATAGATGTGTTTTTTCTATAGTTGTTAAGGTAGGATGGAAATTAAAAGTCCTGTAACGGACCGTTTTGCCCAAAAGAGGTTAAAAACCGTTTAGGCGATATTCCCCTTTTTCAGCTGCACCGACAGCTACTGCAAGCACCAATCTCCTGAACTGCAAACCTACGAATTCACCAACTCCCGAACTGCAACCAAGGGAATACTCGAAACTCCCGAACTGGATACACACGAACAGCTGCTAGCAGACAAACAGGAAAAGCCCCCAAGCGGCTTACACTCCTGGCAATCAGTCTCTAACAGCATACAGTAAATCCTCCCCCAATAATGAGACAACACTTCACTTTGAGGGTTAAGCAGGAACTCATTTACTGGGGCTAACTGCCCGGCTTTTATGCAGGTCTCCCTGCATAAAATGGGAGACTGGGACACAAAGGGTAAAAGGACCAATCACAGACTTACACATTTTAACCATCCCACAATGCATCACAATCCCTCCTCTCTGCCCTGGAGATAATTTGGGAAGTAATTCAATTATCTCCAAAGACAGAGGCAAAACTCCATTAACCACATGGCAGAAAACAAACAGTAAAAGACATAAAATTACCTACAGTTACATTCAGTACATAAAACATATATGTTCTACATATCCCCAGATAGCTCAGGTCTGAGCGCACATTATTAAGCGAATGGCGCTCAGACCACACAAATACAGTTTAATCGCCATGGAGCCAAAGTCTTTACACAGTCAGTTTCATGCGAATGGGCTCCATGGGATTCCTATCTGGGGCACAACACACTCAAACAAATCTACCGAACACCCGGCAGAAAAGCACGAACAAGTCTTTTCTGCAGGGAAAAAATATGTCTTTTAACATGGGGCCATAGTCCAAAGGCAGCAGGCGAGCAACCAGGCTTCTCCAGGGTACAGTGGCGAGGTTGGTTTCGCCACAGGTCCACAACAATATTTTTATTGTTTTGGGAAAAATGCGACCACAGTTATGACAGGTCTGAATGAAGATACTGAAAAGTCACAAGAAAGAGGAATCGTAAGGCCATAAAGTTGTATGTCTAAAGTTGTTCTTTAAATTACCTGTACAAATTGTACCTGTGTATGCTGGTTCTCTTATGTCTTTGCACCTTTATCACTTCTAAACTGTTTGCTAACATTTTTTTGTATGTTGTATTCATTTTTGTTTTGTTTTGTTTTTTATATACATTTACTGTAAGCTATTTTCAGATTAAATTAGTTATTTCTACCTTCACCACTCTATTGTTTTGATTTGTAGTCCTTAAAGGAGTACTGACAGTTCCCCGTATTTTTAATATTACATTTACTTATCAAGTATTTGGAGGTATATAAAATGAAATGTAGAAATATATATTTTTTTTTTTGTAAATCTGTTTTTATTAGATAGAGTAATGGTAGTACAGCTTATTCGGTTCAGTGTTCAGCAGATTGAGGTCACGTACGACCTGTGTGTATCTGCTGCAATATGTTCAAATAAGGCACAAGCATAACATTCGTTCCTGAGAACAACTCTGTTGCCACTTAACATTATGGCAATCTAGACAACCAACGTTCAGATTATATTGCTTAACTAGTATATAGTTCCTGTCGTTACCCCTCAGGGTGCATTTATATTACGTGATCGGTCAGCCACGAGCTCTCCCTAGCTCTTTTGTGGGTGTTCGTAGTGGGTGTGGGAACCTATGAAGGTTGACGTCGTATGCAGTATGTTTTAGGTAGCTATGCGTCGTGTCAGATACCTATGGACTTGCTAAACTTATGTTTTGGTAAAGTGTCTGTGGTAGGTGGTGGGGAATCATGGTTACCCTATCCGTGCTACCTTGTCTGTCCTTGTGCCATGCGTCTGTTTGTGGGTCTACCCCTTCTAACTGTATATCCGTGTTTTGTAGCTCTAATGGTAGTGTGTCTTGTTTGTTTTTTCCTCGGGGTATGTGACAATGGCGTGTCTACGTTAAGTTGGTTGTGCGCGTGTGTATATGGGAAGGAAAGTGGGTGGATTGTAGTCACGAGAGTCGTGATAGAGAAAAGAAAAGAAAAAAAAAAAGGGAAAGGAAAAGATTAAGGGTAGAGTATTTAGCTATGAGAGGAGATAAGGGCCTCGCCCCGAAGGCCCGGGTCCCCCCCCGCAAGCCTCTCTCGATTCATCCTATCGAATCCTGGATATAAATGTAAACCACGGGCGCCACAGTTCTGCATGTTTATCTCCCCTGCTCAGTAGAGATGCTTGCATCGCCTCCGCCCCCTGAATGCCCTCCACCCTACGGATCCACTCCTCCACGCTGGGGGTCTCTGTCTTTTTCCAATATATAGGGATCAGAGCCCTGGCAGCGTTGAGTAAGTGGCGTAATATCGACTTTTTATACCTTGGTATCGGCAGTTGTGATATATGCAGTAGTGCCAAGGCTGCTGTCCATGTGGGTATTTCTCCCAGGACTTCGGTTATGTTTTGTCGTATCATTTCCCAGAAGGGAGCAAGAGTGTTGCACTCCCACCAGATGTGTATCATCGTGCCCTCTTCCTCTTGGCACCTCCAACAGGTCGGGGGGGTTGATGGGAAGATCCTATGGAGGAGGGCTGGCGTTCGGTACCATAGCGCAATTATTTTGTAATTTGTTTCCTGATAGAGTGAGCTAGTGCAGCTCTTGTGTTGCCAGATTAAGGCGGTCTCCCATTGCGTGGGTGTGAAGGTAGTGTTGAGCATGGTCTCCCAGTGTCTGCGGAAAGTGTCATTTTCCGTGAGGTGTCCAACTAAGAGGTGTTGATAAAATATGGATATTGCCTTCCCCATAGGAGTGCCTCTCTCGCACAGTGTCTCGAACCACGTTGGGACTCTATGTAGGCGCTCTTTATCACGCATGCGATTGTAGAAGTGTGTCACTTGCATATACCGGAATGCTATGAGATGGGGAAATGTAGAAATATGCACCTCTTTATTCTGTTACTGGGTGTTTACACCTTGGCTCCCTGTTATAAACTCTGTTCTTTGCACATGGCACTGAGCATCCAGAGAGGAAGAGAAATGAAAAAATATATATTTTTCCTCCTCAACTGCAGTGTTTGTTCTGGATTTGCCTTGTCTAGACTGGACTGTGACATAATTTGTGACATAATTTGATTAATCCCCAACATCTCATGAAAATAACAAACATTAAAACATTTTTATTGTTTTATTCTATGGTATAATTTCCATGGAAGTAACAATTTCTCTTTAATAATAGTAGGATGATACTAAAAGCTAAGTTATTAACGATATAGATTCTAAGTCAGATTTATAAAAAAAAATTCCATTATTATTCTCCATTCGGGACTATTACAAGCAATTGACTATTCATAAATAGGACTTTACATTGGACACAAGGTCTCGCATATAGACTGAAATAAAGGAGATTTAGTCTAAGGCAAATTAAATGTTTTTTTTTTTTTTACAGTAAGAACAATAAGGATATGAAATTCTCTGCCTGAAGAGTCCATACAGATGTTTAAACAGCAATTAGTAAATACTTGCATAAGCATAATATACAGGGATATACATTTTAATTAGTGGGGTAATAGCTTCTGTATTCAAGGAGATATCTGACTGCCATTCTGGGGTCAAGAAGGATTTTTTTCCTAGTTTGTTGCACAATTGGAAGTGCTTCAGACTGGGTTTTTTGCCTTCTTTTGGATCAACAGCAAAAAATGAAATATGAGAAAGGCTGAACTTGATGGACGCAAGTCTCTTTTCAGCTATGTAACTACGCATTTCTTCCCTGTTTAACACTTTGCCCAAGAAATTAACTTTTTTTGCCCTGATGTGTTTTGCTAATTGGTGTTGGATTATGTAGAACATTTGAGCAATTTAGTTATTAGATATGCCCTGGTAACAATTGATAATCTCTGGGTGTATAAGTATGATCTTTGGCTCTGCTTTCTTAGCAGATGCTTGGTGCTATTCACTCATTCAGGCTCACACTATCCTCTTTAACACGACAGAAGAAAGAATTTGAATATCATGTTTGGTTTCTATAGTAATTAATATTTTATCCCAAGCTATCATGACGTTGATGCTGTCACGGATGTTACCCCAATACGCAGAGTATAACCTCAGTAATATATTGGGTTGCCAGTCCTTAGAGGTGGCCGAACTGCGTAAAATAGGCAGAGAGTAAACTCGGGACTAGACAGAATTAAAGGAAACCAGCAATCAGGATGACGATAAGACAAGCCAGGTTACGGATACCAAGGAGGGAAGCACAACAGGGCTCTGGGCACTTGGAACTGTGATGTTAAATAGGCTGGAGGTGTAATTGCTATAACCACGCCCTCAATTTATGAGGGGGCGGTAATTATTCCATGATTTTAAATTTCTTTGAAATCTTGACAAAGGCTTACATGCACCTCGATAAAAAAAAGGGGCGTGTGCAGATCGGCTGGTGCCAGTGTTGCTATAGGAGCCAGCAGGCACTGCGAAAATGGCGGTCCGCCAGATCGGAACTCCCCTTGACGGTAAGTTAACATGTGTACTCCTAACAGATGCATCTTAAAAATATTCAACAAATATCACTATCAATTTTTATGTTGTTTCACTGTTGGTTTTTGGCTATTGTGGCCTAATATTTGTAATTCATTTGAATTTACTTTTCATTTATGCTGATAAATGTTGCACAGTGAGCGCACTGAGTCATTCAGAAAAGAGTGTTGACACTGGGTCCTTAAGTCAACTGCCAGAGATGCAGACCACAAGCTCCTCTCACAGACCACTATGGGTCTTACCTCTACCAGACCAACAAAGTCTGATTAAAGAATAAAGAACTGCAACTAAGTTATATTAATAATATATTTATTCCTAGTTTGTTCAAAAAAAAATTAAAGCAGGAAGTGTAAAAAACTGCCCCCCCCCCCCTTATCAGTTGAATTTTTCTCCTAATTTCTCCATGAAATTACGTTCTTTATTTAATAGTATTCGATATTTGTGCAGAAGACATTTTGACAGAAATGATTTGCAATATTTAATATCTGTTTTGTGAGTTTTTGAAACAAAAAAACAACAATATATGTGAACACAACCTCAGTAAAGAAAATATAATATAGAAGCGAACCAAGACTTCCCTTATGTTAAGGTGAAGTATCCAGATGAATCCCCGAAGACTTCCTCTTGTCTTCAATAGATATACACAGATAAAATGGGGGACAATCTGCTAAATACAAATAAAATAGAAAAACATAGCGTACAACTGTGTGGAGACTGGTACTGGTGTGCAATCACAATTGGTCACTCACAATTTTGAAGAGTTAACACAGCCTTGAATGATATCTTTATAGAGTTAAAACAGCCTTGAATGGTATTTTCCAGTGTCCAGTGTGTTGTTCCTCCTCACATATTCATCAGTAAATGGGTGTATATGTCTCAAAGAGAAAAATATGTACAAAGATGTAATGCACTTCCAGAATATGATAAAAAGTATTTTAATGACTTACATTTAAGTAAGTAAATGTAAGTACACTTACATTTGATCAAGTAATCACAAGAGTCACAATAAAATGATAGTAACATTATTTGCAATTTAGGGCTATGCACAATAGAAACCAATTAATAAAATAAACAAAGGTAAATTTAGTATCCCTGACCTTATAGTTAGTGTTCAAATACTATAAAGCCCCCTGCCCCCCTACCCCTTGCCCCCTTAAATATAGTAAATTCTTACTTTTATTCCAGTCTTCTGCTGCTGGCTCTGCCCCTGATCTGCCTGCTTGGTTGACATAATTAGAAGTGATGATCTGAGCCAATCACTGTTCCTTCCCATGGGAAAGCATGGTATTGGCTCAGATTGTCAAGGGGGCAGATCAGGTGCAGAGACAGCACAAGCCAAACAGTTCTTATGTACACAAAAAGTATGTCAAAAGTCCCAAAAATCACCAGACCGCATGTAAAATAGACAGTAAAGTCAGGACTAGACACTTTTACACCACTCAAGAACAAAAAAACAACAACTATTTTTGGGAATAGAAACCCACACAATGCATACATTGCCAGTCTAGCTTTTAATCTAAGAACCCTCTCAAGTATATAGCAAAATGCACCACAGAACATGATTGAGATAAATTAAATATGCAATGTCCATACCCAAAAAGTGATATGCCTCTAGTATAGTAAAAAAGGATATTTCAGAAGAACTCAACTATCAAGGAAAAATTGCAGATTCTCGCAAAATTGCTGCTGGCCAGGTAAAAGAGAAAGGTAGCTAGA